CCCTGTTCAGCAGCTTTTCTATCAATAGTTATTTACTGTACTTGGATGTGTTTTTTGCTTATTTTTTGATAGATTTAAGATAGAAAGAATGCTGAATACCCTTGAAAAACATGCATGTATATACCCACCCCATACTCTTACTGTTCTCTATTTGGAGGTGTTTAGGAAGAGGTCATGGGGGAATTTGGGTCTTGGGAAAGGGTTGGCTTGAGTGACCTTTGCTGGTGTTTGTATTTTGAGATCTGTGAATTAGCTTCAGAGAGACTGGGAAAGGGGGCGGGGTGTCCTCATTGCCACATTCAAGTTTGATAAGAACTTTTCTAAAGAGGAAATGTTCAGCACCCTTGCTGCTTGTTTGACACAGTGTTAAAGGAAGCAACCACGGGCATAGCTGACACCCAGCCCAAGCATGGAACAGGGAGGTGAGTGAACACCTTGAAAACAGAGTGTGTGTGGGCGCCAGCCCCGTGTTCTAGATATTGGCTGGGTAAGGGTCCAAGGCTGCAGTGGTGCTGGGAAGAGCTGGAGTGATACAGGAAAATGAAATGAGTCACTTTTTCCAAGGAGTGGAGAACATTTCCATTAGCAAAACTTCAAGAGAAAAGTTCTTTATGCTGTCTGGGAGTGTCCTCGGGGTTAAGGGCCATTTGGTTTTCTGATAAATAACCTCTCCAGTTGTCTGAAAATATTAATAACCACTCATTAGTCATTTTACTAATTTATTTTATTGGACTTTTAAGTTAAAAAGTAATACACAATTGTCACAATAAGTTGAATTAGGCGGGTGTGTTTTAAAAGATTTATCACCTCCTCACCTACATTGTGTGTGTGTGCTAAGACTGCTTCAGTCATGTCTGACTCTGTGCGACCCCATGGACTGTAGCCCATGCCCTCCTTCAGAGGATGGTCTTCACCCAGGGACTGAACCATGTCTCCAGTGTCTCCTGCATTGGCAGGCAGTTTCTTAACCATCAGCGCCACCTTCCTATAGAATATTGTGCAGCTATTAAAAAGATACAGTATTCTATTTAGTGAAAAAATTATAATGTGTGTAGTGCAATTCCACTGTTTAGTTTTAAAATAATAAAATAAAAAAGACAGTTATATACATGTATGTAAATTTGTATATGAAAAATAAAGGCACAGATGTCCAAATCACTCCCATAGAAAACCAAGATTAGGGATCTGAAGTGAACCCTTCTGTGCCTTTTATGTTTCATACACAAATTTACATACATACACATACATATACATATATGTTTTTGTATTATTTTAAAACCAAATGGAATTACATTATACACATTACTTTATAATTTTTTTTGCTAAATAGAATATTGTATCTTTATAATAGCTGCATAATATTCTATAGGATTGATATAACAAACTTTATTCAGTCAATTCTTATTGATGGATATTCAGGCTGTTTCCATCTTTGTTTTCTTTCTATTTTTTTCATTGACATAATACTACATTCAACATCCATATGTGTCTATCTTTACACACTGATGCTTTTATTTTGGTAGAATAGAGTACTAAAAGTGGAGTCCTGAGCCAACATATAAGTGCATTTAAAATTTCAATAGGTAACATCAGGTTACTTTCCTGAAAAGCTTTTAACAATTTATACTTCCACCAACCATGTTGTACAATGTCTGACCCTCCACATTGGATGGTATCAGGCTTTAATTCTTACCAGCTGGATAGGTGACATTATCTGTTTGTTGAGTACTCTTTGAGAAAAAACCTCATTTTGAAAAATTATTTCATAAAGTTTACATCTTCAATATAGGCATTTATGTTAACATAAACATATCATACACACACAACACACATAACCTGTTTCTACTGCTGACTTTTTTCATTCTTTTTGACTGGTAGCCTGTTGAGTGGATCTGCTGGTAGAGGACCTATGCATAAGAAGGGATTGGCAAATCCAGATAAAGGGAGGATTGAAGTGTAAGTTTTCACTCTTTGTTTCACTCTTTTTATCAGGGCCAGGATGTGAGGATGGGCATGTGAGCTTCCAGTCCTTGCTTATCAAAGCGGACCCTTTCTTAATGGCATGATAGAATGGTCTCTTCTTCATGGCAACCCATTGTCTTTGAGTGACAACACCTGTGCTCTCATAATTCTGGAGACTCTAGAAAGAATTACTGAAAAATATTCTGTGACAGGTAGTTGGAAGCTATGAATTCCCAGGTCAGGCTGTCAACTCATCAGGAGAGAGGCAAGCTCAAGTCTTGGTGAAGGGGATGGAGTCTGGGGACTGCTTTTGTTTGAATCCTGGCTCTGCTACTGTCCAGCTGTGCGACTTTAGGCAAGTTAGTTAACTTCTCTGTTGATTCAGTTTTCCTATCATAAATGCAGATAGTAATAGCCCCTGTCTCATAGGATTGGTGCCAGGACTAGGGATGGGAGTTAATATGAATTCAATAATAAATAAAGCACTTCAAGTAGTGCCTGGTACACAGTAAGGCCTATGTACATGTTTGCTATTATTATTATTAATTTTTATTGTTCCTGGTTGAAACAATGACGTTTCCCATTGAAATGGGTTCTAGTGACACATAGTCATGAAGGGGGGCAGCTCTCCTGGATGAAAGGTAAAGAAAAGGGCTGTAGAGAGGACAGCCACAAAAGGAGTGCAGATAGTCATTTATCATGTAGATCCCGTGCATTTTGTACCTGGGTTCTGACTGTCTGGGAATGGACTTGACTGAGGCAAAGAGGGTGGTCCCCAGCTGTGAAGTGACCCCAGTTCATCTCTGATATCCTCTACCCCCGTGGCCCCTTGCTGCTGCTTTTGCATCTTTATTTCATTTTTGGTCACCAGCAATACCGGATAAAGCATTTTCATAACTGCTTCCCTGAGGGAGAAAATAAGTGAAAAATTTGCATGTGTCTTCCCAAAAGGAGCAGTGATGTGGGCTTCTCAGCTTCTGGCTCCTGAGCTCATAGATCTTCAAGTTGGGGGCAATCAGAATGGACTCATATAAGCGTGAGTCAAACCATTTTGATCTGAGAAGACTCAACATGGTGAACCATGGACAAATCCAGTAGTTTACAGAGACCATGAGGCAGGGGGATTTGCCTTATGTTTTGTGGGGAATGTGTTTATTTAAGCAGAACAGCAATCAAGTTTTGAACGACTTTAGTGGGAAAATGTTTACAGTGTTACAGGAAGTGACAACTAATGATAATAATGACAATACATAAGTTGAAAAATACTGAAAGAAACACACCAAAATGTTAATTGCCATTACCTTGGATTGGTGTGATTATTGGTGCTTTTGTTTTCTTCTTTATGTATATGTGTGTGTGTGTGTATGTATGCATTATATATATTTATACCATTTCTATATACAGATTTAAGTTTTTCCAAAATGAATATATATTATTTTCTTTGATAGAAAATGAGATAGAGTAATTACAGACTGTAACCAATAAAGCTATTAATATAGAAACAGCCTAAATGGCTATAATAGGGAGCTGAAATAACGAAACTGTGGTACATCTGTATAATGAAGTACAATACAGTTATCAGGGAGGTCATAGAGTAAAATTAAAAGGTTTTCATTATATGTTGTTAAGTGAAAAAAGTAGCATGGGAAACTAAGAAAAGCACACGGGCAGTAGGGAAGACCCAGCACAGCCAAAAATGAATACATAAAAATTTTTAAAAAGTAGCATAAGAAACAATATATAGTAAATGCTACATTGCATATGTAAATATATATGTGTGAAAAGTGAAAGTGAAACTCGCTCACTCATGACTGACTCTGCCACCCCATGGACTATAGAGTCATGGAATTCTCCAGGCCAGAATACTGGAGTTGGGAAGCCTTTCCCTTCTCCAGGGGATCTTCCCAACCCAGGTCTCCTGCATTGCAGGTGTATTCTTTACCAACTAAGCCACAAGGGAAGGAAGCCCAAATGTATATATAAATTAACATAAATTTCAGGAACAGCATAAATGAAAATGTTATGACAAATGGGATTACTGGGGTTTCTTTTATTTTTTGCTTACCTGAATTTTCTAATTTTCTGCAATAAAACATGGATTACCTACACAATAAGTGAGTGTTTATATAACTTAAAAAAATAGACATCCAAAGACTATTCTTAGGGCAATAAAATCCTCTAAGAGTTGGTGACAAATTATATTGTTATTGAGCTGTGTTGCCATCTGGTGGCTCAAAAGCAAAAACTCACTCTTCTTTCTGCAGCTTGCATTTGGAATTAGGAAATGAAAGCCAAATACTGTGTCATGTTTCAGATGAATGCCTAGACAGTTTTAGCAAGTTAATGAAAGTGTTCCTTTGATTCACAGGAAAAAAGAAGTAACCTGGTGACCAAGCAAGAACCTGATCATGGGTGTATTGTTGAATTTTACTTAAAAAATTAAACAATCTCTGTTTTGCTAAATGTGTTTGCAGGCATGTTCATCCATAAAGACAGTTCTGAGTTATCCATTTTATGGGTGATTCAGGGCAAAATTTTCTTCCTAACCTATTTTTTTTTTCAGCTAGTTGACAGAGTAAGCAACCTGTAACAACACTACAAATGTTTGTGGAATGAATGATCCCTTCTGGCTGACTTAATCCAACTAACAGTTGGTGCATTTTCATGGACTATAAATTAATTTAGAGATGAACCAGCTGAAGCACTAGTTTTCTTGACATGCAAACATAAAATAATAAAATGCTTCGCAAAGCCCAGCGATGGGTAGTTTAGTGCCATTCTGAATCAGCTACCCTGCTCACCCCTCACCATCCTAGGACGCACTCCTGAAATTCATCCAGCCCACTCACTGGATTTAACTTTTCCCTCTCACCTTTCTGCTTCTGTGTGTAAAATCTATAAACATTTGGGCAGTGCCTCTGGGGAAAAGCATTGTTCATGCCTACCCTACACCATTCTTCTGAGTTGCCCAGGAAGCCGAGTGGCCGGTAGATGGTTGCTTTTGAGAACTAACCCTTGCTTTCCTTACCACCCTGCAGGTGAGCTGATCAATCTGGCTATGTACTGTGAGAGGATAAGGAGAAAATTCTGGCCCGAGTGGCACCACGAGGATGACAACACCATCTACGAGTCAGAGGAGAGCAGTGACGGGAGCAAGACACACACGCCCCTGCTGGATTTCAGCTGTTACTCAAGGACAGAGACCTTTGAAGACGAGGGAGCAGAGAACAGTTTTTCCAGAACCCCAGACACAGATTTCACTGGACACTCGCTCTTTGACTCCGACGTGGACATGGATGACTACACAGACCACGAACAATGCAAGTGACGGTCAGCCTCGCTGACCCTCCTTTGCTGGAGCTGCCTCTCCCTGGGGTCCGTCCAGCTTCCCAGGCAGAAATCCATCGAGCTGGGAGCAGATCTTCATGCTCGGCATGGTTCTCGCAAGCTAACTGGAGTAGAGCAGCCTTATTCCTCTTTTGTACAAACCAGACACAGAACCACTCCTATGGCTCCCTTTAAAACAAAGAGGCAAAAAAATAAAAAAGTCAGCATGGTTCCTAAAATTCATTTTTGTTTTCATTAGAAAACTGACGTTGTGTGGTAGAGCAGGTGCAAGAGCGGGTTGTCCACAGACTGCTTAGCCATTGATCCCCTGCAACCCGAGGGCTTAGGTGTGAGCTGGATCCTTGAACGTCCTTCGTCTGGTAGGATTTGGAGTCGTGAGTGATGTCATCAGAAGGAATGCAGGAGATAAGTGTTCTTTGGTGGCCGCTTGTATTTTCTGTGTGTATATTGTATGTTGAAATATAAGTCAAATAAAATCCATAGATATTCAGTGAACACCTACTACGTGCAAAGCACTGTGCTAGGTGCTAGCCAGTATTGGTTTTATCCTAAGCCCTGCCAGTGACTAGCTATGTGATTCTGGGCAAGACCCTTAATTCTTGTGTGCCTCATTTCCCCCGCCTGTAATGTGGGGGTGACTATAGTCTCCACCTACCTACCTCACAGGGGTGTTGTGAGGATTCATGTGGTAACATTTGGCGCTTTAAACCTCGAGGACGAGTTGTGACATAAACACATTTTGTCTTTAATGTGCTTCGTGCGTGTGAAGATCGGCCGGCGGAGGAATTCCATATTCAGGCAACAGCAGCCACGGTCTCTCGCCCAAGCCGAGCCGATGGAATGCACACCAAGGCACAGTTAGGACGCGTTCATCATCCTCTTTGTGATCTTGCTTGAATTGAAACCTTTCGTTGAAAGAACCTTGGAAATATTTTTACAGATCATCAACAGCTACAAACAGTCTTCAATTCTACTGTATATTTGCGGAGAAGTCTCTTTTGTTGCCTGAACTCACACTGGAAAGCTGTCCCTTGTTGATTCTGGAGTGTTAAGTTGCCTATGTTTGATTTACTTGATAAAGCTCAGGAATAAGATCTATTTAATAGAGGTGAAGGGAAAAGGATTTGATTGATTTTTTTTTTTTTTTAAGCAGAAGCTCGCCAACTTGTAATGTCTTTTTTGAAAACAAACTTTGCAAGATGTACTGAAAAGATGAAGAAGGAAGAGGATCGTTGTAAATGGTAGCAGGGCACTTTGTGTTGTGTAGACTCTATGCAGTTTTTATTAATGCAACTTTTCTGGTCTTCTCAGCCCTTGTGCAGTGAGGGGAAGCCAATGCTGAGAAGAATCTTAATGTTTCTTAAGGATTTCCCTCCCCTTCCTGTCCACTCTCTTTCCCTCCCCACAGAGCACCTGAACTCTTGGGGTTACAGTGTTGACTAAGGCACTCTATCTCTGAAGACATAGTTTTGGTTGACTTAGAACATCTTCCAGTGAAATATGGGGTGAAGATCCTGGGGTGATGGCTGTGGATTTGGGCTTCTGACCACAACTGCCTGAGGGAGGGCTATTCCTAATGGGGTTAAAAAGGAACTTCTTAAAAGACAGCAACTTCTGAGAAGTTCATATACTTTATTTGAAAAAGACTCTGAATATAGTTTTGGCAAAACAGTCCTAGAATGCCGTGGATTCACAAAGACGTAATGGGAGAGAGTATTTGAGGTGATTTACCGTTTAAGCAATGTGTAACTAGGAAGAAGTGCTGAAACACTCTAAGCTGGACATTTTTATTCCACATAAAACTCAGTTGTTAGTATCTTACCAAACCCTTCATCTTTGAGGGGACTGTTTGATGCCTAACGAGAATGTGTTAGAAGATATATGAATGGATAAGCCTATTTTGTTTCCAGCATCATTTCCAGGATTACCCACCTCTTATCTCTCTAGCAAATGCATTCCAGGACCAACTGGTGGTAATTCTGTGTGACAGGGGATGTCCTGGCTTGAAAATGTGGAGTCGACAGACTGTGGACCTAGCTCTGCTAAGACTGAGTTGCCCTTTCTCCATCTTCAGTTGGAAAGAGTTGGGTTTGAAATTTTGTCTATAATTTATTCTTCCTATATAGCACAAAGTATACTGTATCTTCATGCTAAGAAGTTTTAAGTTATGAGTATGTGGGGTCACAGATATTTATTATTGTGTATTACTTGGAGGGCACATCCATGGAGAACCAACATTAAATATGTAAAACCTTCATTCATTCTCTCCAGGTGCCTCCCACAGGGGCTGAGTCCTGGGTACTGCCCGAAAACTCATGTTTGGGTATTCAGCATTTTGTAGGTATAACTTGATTAGGAACCCTAGAATATACCCAGGTTTTACTTTTCCAAAGTGGGTTTTGGAAAAGTAATGACTAAGACAAAACCCACAGTGGTGTGGGCAACTTATGCAGTCTTGATTAGGTGGGCTTTAATTTTATATGTTTCATTCTTAGGCTGCCCAGATTGAACTGTTCTCTTATTTGATGAACAGGTGCTACTTATAAGAAAAATAACAAGAAATTAGGGGATATTTTGGTCATCTGACTCTCTTGTTCAGGTTCTGTATTTCTTTTTTATTGGAAGATAACTTAAGGAAATGTGATCTTTAATGCAAGAGGTGCTTTTGGATGGCCAGAAGACCTGTGGGCTACCTGTTCTTTTTTACCTTTCATTGTAAAATTAAATTCTATCTTTTTCGCCACCTCCCTTTGCCCCACCCCACCCTCATCTCCACTTGTCTGGATGAAGGAGCAGCCAAATTATACTTTGCTTTGCTTATGTCAGAGTAGATACAAGGATGATTTAAATTTATGCAGAGGTAAACCATATTGCCAGAGGTTCCCATTTCTTTTGTAACATCATGATTTGTGAATATTAATGTTACCAAGGCGATGGGCTACCCAGCTGACTGATCACAGACTTAGAACAATTGGACTTGAACCAGAACTTGAGTCTTGTCCTCACGTGAACCCTACTTGTGTGTACTGAGGTATGAGGATATATGTTTGTGAAACAACTAAGGTTCAAGGAAAGGAGGCGTTAAGGATTACAGCTGTGGGAATCTTGCCCAGATTACTCGAGAGAAGGTATAGACTCATAGACACGGATAGCTGAGTGGTGGATTTGCTCTGGAAAGCCATATTTATTTGAAGGGCAGGCCCAGAACTGAGGTCTTTCACCTTGCCTTACAGAGTTCTTGCCATTACATCAGCTTGACTCGGATTATTTTTAAAACCACCTCCCCGAGAGCTCACTCCATGTTTGTAGAACCGGCACATCCCAGCCTCTCAGAGAGTGCTCGAAATCGATCAGCCTTGTCCCCTGTATCTCTTCACCCAGGTCAGTTCGAGGGATCTTTGTTCGGTATCTACTCTGTACAAAGTGCTGCCTGTGCTCTGTGAAAGTCACCAAGATGGACATGTAAGTTACCAAGACCCTTGTTCTTGGATTGGATCTTCTAAGGAATCCGTGCCCATGTGATCTCTCACTGGGTATTTAGTTACTCACTGATGATGGGCTTCCTTGGTGGCTCAGCAGTCAGGAGTCTGCCTTCAATGCAGGAGACTGAAATGTGGATTCAATCCCTGGCTTGGGAAGATCCCCCGGAGGAGGAAATGGCAGCCCACTCCAGTATTCCTGCTGGGAAAGTCCCATAGACAGAGGAACCTGGAGGGCTAGAGTCCGTGAGTTTGCAGAGTTGGACACAACTGAGCACACATACAGTGGTTTTTAATTTTTGTGTCTCCATTGATAATCTAATGCAAGTCCTATGCCCTAGTCCCAGAAAAATATGGAGATATATGAAATTTTGCATATAAGTTCAGGAGATCTAGAAATGTCTTGAAATTACCTGTGGATTCCTTAGGGAAACCTGTGGTTTCCTCACAGTTGAGGAAACCTTGTTTGAAAAACAGGCTTTAAAAGTTAACTGCTGTTAGTGTTCCTTCTTGCTTGCTTTTATCCCAGCCAGACAGGAGATGAATTAGAATGGGAGGTGCAAGCACAAGTAATCTGTATCATTATCCACATGGAGAGTGCTCTGTGACAGGGAAGGAAGAAGAGGCGCCTCATATTGAGAAAATATCCTTCTTCTGACAAGTTTGGCATTTTGAAAGTGAAAGGATTTTGCTGTCATCATCACTGTCATCCACCTTCTTACCACCCAGATGTTGATTTTGCAAAATCAGTTCAGGGACAGAGGCGTCACTTCAGCCCTGAAACCCACCACCTCTGCATGGATAAGCTGATTGGTCTGTGGCTTAAGGCGGGAGAGAAGAAGCTGAATTTTTCCTTATAGGAATAAGTTCTGCACAATCAGATTTTTCTGCATTAATTAATTAATTAATTGAACAATTGTTGAGTGTATTTTCAATAAAAGGATGGTGCCTTTGGTTGATAGGGAACAACTCAGGCTCTTCCTCTTCTTTTTCTTTCTCTTCTCCTTCATCTCCCCCCTCCACTCCCTCCTTCCTCTCCTCCTCTTTCTTTTTTTTTTTTTTTAACATGGGTGAGACTATTTTCATTGCTCCTGGCTATTACCCAGGATCCTTTGTTCTCCTGTCTATGCAGTGCTATTTAAGAAGAACAGGGACTGATGAAAGTACATTCAATGACAAATACTTCTTGAGTCTAAATGTGGAACTCTGGCAACCCATTTCTAACAGGTCCAGGATCGATTGCCTGTGACTGTGGCATGCTTGACCTTCATTCATTTACTTTTGATGGTCTGGATGCAATTTGCAAAGTTTAAAAGGACCACTTGGCGTGTGAGCAGGAGGCTCCTCTGGATGGCAGAACCCTTGCTAGTGCCAGGAGTAATGCAAATGGATGTGGGGTTTTCTTCATTTTTTTTAGGTTTTTAGTCCCTGACTTTAAAGAATATCTTAAAGGTAATTAAGGCATTTTAATCTTTGAGATAACTGGAACCAGCAACACATT